AGAACGACACGTCGTAGCCCGGCCGGCGTGGCTCAGTGGCTGAGCCTCGACCTGTGAACCAGGAGGTCACGGTTCGATTCCCAGTCAGGGCACATGCCCGGGGTGCGGGCTGGATCCCTAGCGAGGGGCGTGCAGGAGGCAGCCGGTCCATGGTTCTCTCTCATCATTGACGTTTCCATCTCTCCCTCCCTCTCCCTTCTTCTCTGAAATCAATAAAAAAATATTTTTAAAAAAAGAGGACACGTTGTATCTACAGCCCAAGAGAAAGGCCTGTGACAGCCCAGCCATTTCAAAGGCTGGGGCTCCAGCGGGAGGCGGGGGGGGGGCTGAACCCCTCCTCACAGGCTGAGCCGCATGGCAGAGGGTTTCAGAGAAACATGGAGCCAGCCTTCCAGGGCGGGGCCTGGCTGCCCCAGGGGCACAGGGCTGCACCCTCCTGCCAGCGACGGATGGCCACCTGGGCCTGGGCCCCTAGGAAGAAGAGGCTGAGCTGTGGCTGCTCCCTCGTGGGAACGGCAGGCAGCAGCTGCTCCCGCCCCACCCAGGGAAGCAATCTGTGTCCGCTCACCCCTGGAGAGTGTTGGGGGGCGGCAGGAAGGAAGATGTGGAACTAGGAGTGGAGAGCGTTCCCCTTTCGTTTCCTCGCCGGCCCCAAGTCCAGATCCCTGTGCAGTGGGTGCCCCCAAACCCGAGCTCCACCTGTCTCTCTGGCCGTCTGTCCGTCTGGCCTGCGTCCCCAGGTGGGAACGGCAGTGTCCCCACACTCGGCGCTCAGCAGCCTGGGCGAGGGGGGCTGGGAACGATTCGGGGTCATTCTACTAGTGAGTAAGGACCCAAGTGTCTGTTTCCCAACTCACGCTCCTCCGCACAACCTGAGCCAGAGACACGCACACGGGCCTCCTTTTCCTGCCGCAGACGCACCGGGACCAGACGCACCGGGACCGCTCCCCTCCCCTGCAGGACGGGCAGCCCCGATGCAGCACGAGGGAGCAGCCCCACAGCGTCCCCTGCACCTCAGGGTCCCTCATCGCCGCCCTTTAAAACAACCCCCAGGGCTCGCTTTGGCAGCACATGCACTAAAACTGAACGGCTCAGTGGTGAGCGTCGTCCCATGAACCAGGAGGTCACAGTTCATTTCCGTCAGGGCACACGCCCGGTTGTGGGCTCGGTCCCCGTGGGGGGCGCACAGGAGGCGGCTGATGGGTGTTCTTCTCATTAATGTTTCTCTCTTTCTCTCTCTTTCCCTCTCTCACTCGCTCTTGCTCTAGCTCTCCCTCTCCCTTCCTCTCTCTCTAAAAATCAATAAAGATGTATTTTAAACATTAGGGCTAGGACAGTGCTTAGGAACACCTAACGCGGAGGAGGTAAGTGGTAAGCGATCGGTTACTCGGCGGCTCAGCGCCTCTGCCCGGGCCGTGCAGAGAGCAAGCGCGGCCGCTGTCCTGGCTGGGCCAGAGCCGCTGCATCGGGCAGACCCTCTCAGACATCCCGGACGTAACACACAGAGACGTGAAGGGGAAAGCCCGACAGCAGGTGGGGGTGCAACCTGGCAGAAGGAATCACAGGGCGCGGGGCTGCAGCTCCAGCAAGAGGCCAGGGGTTCCCCTAAAACCCGGAGAGCCCGGCGTCCGGACGTGTCCGGCGGTGGGACGGCACAGACCACCCGAAGGAAGGGGGAGAGGACCTGCCAGGCATCGGACCGCTTCCCGGGACCAACCCGACAGTGCTGGGGAAGGAAGAGACTCCAACCGTCTCCACCACGCAGACGCCAGCGTCCAACAAACCGGCGGAAATGACCAGGCGCAGGAAGGAGAGCGCGGCCACAGCCAAGGAGCCGAGCAGGTCCCAGGCACAGACCCGGGGGCCCCGCGCCCGGTCAGCTGAGGCAGG